TCCCGGCGAAGTTTTCAACACTTAGTGAGTATAGTAGTTGATATTTTGTTTCTCTTCGGCCGGGCTTGTGTTTAACAGATATGTTTCCTTTCGCAGGTTCCCTCCCTCGGTGCGAGCTATCGACAGAGGACTTCGACACTATCTGTATTATTTATCAGCTGCCTCAGAAGAAGAGGTCATATCACAGGCTGATTCGGAAAAACATACATTTCATCACTCACGATTTAATGGCGTCCCAAAGGTAATAGGACCGAAGCCCACACTTTTTTAACCCGAACTCCCTATGCTTGTATTAATTCCTCATTCGTTTCTTTGCAGATAACTTCAACAAGAAGCTGCCAGTACGCCCCGACTTCAAAACCATTCAGAAAATGATGGCTGAAGCAAGGGCGTTGAAGGCCTCCTCCTCTTCGTATAAGAAGCAAATGGAGGAGCTAGTGGAGGCCAGTAAGAGACTTCAGCCTCCGACGGAGGAGGAGGTTCAGGAGGATCTGGAGGCTGACCTCCGAAGAAAGGGCAAGAAGAGTACTGCCCCTCCCAGACGCCCAACTGTGGCGAGGCCACCCCCAGTTATGCGGCAGACAACTATTCCCACGGGGGTGGCCCTCCCAGAGAGAAACCCCACTGCTACGGAGACTGTCGCTGCCCCAGACACGGCGCCCCTTGCGGCCGTACCTATTGAACACGTTCCGGGGCAGCAGAGGAGGAAAAGGGCCCGCTCCAGCAAAGAAGTTGACTTCCTCGGCACCAATTCAGAAGAGCCAGTAAGGGAGGTGCTAGAGGCTCTCCCTCCGGAAACAGCTGTAGTGGCGGTGGTCCACAGCAAGTATTGGACCGAAGAGTGGAGGGACCACACCGCCTCCTGCACTGCTGAAGACTTGGTGGCGGCGAACAGCGCCTGCGTGGCCCGGGCACTAAGCACAAGTATCCAACTCGAGGGCTTGGTGAAGGATCTAAACTCCAAGAGGGAGGACCTCGCCAAGCGCCTCGAGGAGGCGATGCACTACGGGGACGCTGTGCGAGCTGCCCAGGCCAAAGCCGCCAAAGCAGAGGAGGGGAAGAGAGCTGCTGAGGTCCAGCTCGCTGCTTCGCAGGCGGAGGTGGAGCGGCTGAAAAAAGAGCTCTATGAGGTGGAGTGCCAGGTGGCTGTGGTGACTCGGCGGCTTGACCACGCTAACGAGCACCACAAGCTTGCCACCGATGCCCTGGAGGCCCCCAACAGAGAAAAAGCGGAGCTGAAGCAGCAAGCAGAGGCCCAGTCAGTGGAGATTGCCTCTCTGAGGGAGGAGTTAAAGTCTGCGGGGGAGGTGGCGGTTCAAAATTTTATTGATCACTTCGAAGACCACCCCCTTTACGACGACTTTGCCAACTTCTGGGCCTCGT